TACATGCCAGAGAGTCAAATCCGCCACCAACTTGCTTGTAAGCAACCGTCGAAAGAGAGAACCATCGATAACCTTGTCAGCGAATGATTGATGTTGGCACTAGCTTCCGTTAGGCGGCCCTCCCGACGGCTCCGCCTTTTATACACATTGAATATGGTGGGTTTTGCTATTCGACTTTTCGTAAAGAAAATTTCGTTTTTTAGCAAAATCTATTTTCCTCTCGCTGTACACCTGTTGTACAAAAGATGTCGTGTCTGCAAATGCAAAAAAGCTGTCTGCTCCGGGAAATCACTTTCCGGAGAGAAACATGGTGCAAAAAGTCAACTTCACAGAGCTAGGAATTATATGGGTCGTGCGGACCTTTGCCAGTCTCCCGCTTTCCGAAGCAATGTACACTTCTTGGCATCTTAAATAAACTTGTACTCAGGAACGATAGCAAGTGGAACACCTATGATGCTGATTATTCAGTGAAACGAGCTGGCTTGGCGCCGAGAGCGATAAAATGGTACAACAGTAGCGAACAAAACGATGACTGGAAACAGGACGTCAGCAAAAAGAGGGACAAGAGCGGTGAACGGAATGAAAGTGCTGCCGGCACTGATGACTGTGATGATGATGATGGCTGAAATGATATTGATATGCACTGCAGAGGCGGACGGCATGGAAGAAACGCCGGGGCGGTGAGCCATGCGACTCTCGACGTGTCTTGGAATCTTGTTAGGATGCGTTCTGTGTGGTGAAAAAATTCGCTGAGGATTCTCCGGCTTACACATTCTCGTTGATTTTTTTGCTCTTCGTGAAATAGTTTTTGACTGGTGATCAGCATCGGAGTGTACACCCCGGTGCATCAAGAAAATCCTCTGCTGTGCTTTGTCCGACAGAAGTTTAACGTGCTACACCGCCAGTCCGTCTCACTGTGAACGCAGAGGGGAACCTCGCATAGTCTGCAAAGATAAGAAGTACACGGCCCAGGCAGTCACAAACAGCAAATTCGAAGTCAAAGTAATCATAAATTTTCCATAAAAATTATCGTACAAAGTCAAATTTCAATTCCCATAAAAACTCTTATAAATAACTCCCATAAAAATTTGTACCTAAAAATACAATTAATATGCGTTTTGCATCAAAATATGCAAATGCAAAACACACATTATCGAGACGTTGCATGTGTGTGTGCGCCTATCCGTGCTATGTGTTTATGTGCGTGTGAGTGTGTGTGTGTGTGTGTGTGTGTGTGTGTATGTATACGTTGTATACGTATTTTTATACATGTGTATTGGGAGGCGCGTGAATTTTTTCATCACTTACGTCGCAAAAACCGGGAAAGCTGGAAATCTGGAGGTGTAGGAGCATATTTTCACCCGAGTGCCTCCCTCCTCTTTTATTTTAAAAACGAATTAGGATTGCGCTTTCTATGCATTTTTTGATAAAATAATGTCAGCAAACACTGCAGAAGAAATTTATTTTGTGTTTGCATGTATGTCTTTTCAAAAGACTAAAAGTACAAAAACGCAGAGGGCTAAAATTTTGTAATTTTTGGAACAGAGCTTCAAAATTTATGATTTCCAGGTTATTGTCAAGCTTAGGATTAAAGTAAACTATGCACCA